AAGTGAGAATAACAGCACAATTGGAAGAGCATAGTCAATGCCACTGAACTGTGCATGTAGAAATTTTTGAAACGGTGTATCTTTGGCTATGTGTATTTTCACCAAAAAAAAAAAGGTTGAGAAGTCAGAGGGTTGACATGTTGTGGGGTTGTTAACCGATGTCATAAAACAATATGTGTGCTACTGTTTCATGAGAAACTATTTGTTCTGCAAGCCTTCACCTGAAGTACAATTAAAAAAAAAAAAGTTTTGCCTGTCTATATACATGTCTTCAGACTGGTATTTTCCTGAATTACTTATTAAAAAATATTCACTCAAAACTTACTGTGTATAAGGACTTATGGTAGATGCTCTAATAACTGGTTTTAATCCTTAGGGAACTCACTAATCAGTAGAAAAGAAAAACTGTAAACAACTAACTGATGCTCTGAGTGTTTGACTAGAGGAATAAAGAAAGCCATCTGTGAAAATAGGGTATGTGGCAATTAATTCTATAATAGGGATGAGAAGGAGAATGAATAAGGGACTTGGAAAGACTTCGTGAGAAGATGACATTTGCGCTGGCCTTGAACGCTAAGTGTTAGCCTGGCAAAGAGAAGACTGTTTGCAGAAGCTCAGAATTCAGTGTGGGAAGAATAATATTTTAATGTGATTTTGAATGTGGTTTTACCCCTGCTCTGGAACTGATGACTAGAACCCTAATGTTGAGGATAAAGCTGTATTGTTAACCCACATTTTAAAGAGAGTCTTGTAGCTGGTCCAGCTACCCACTCCAGAGCTAACTCAGAGACAGGCATGCCTCTATGCCTGCTACCTCCAACCACCCACCCCAAACCAAGACTCCATCCCCAGTCCATATTTTGTGATTAGTTGCAACAGAATTAACTCTGACTCAGGGTGACCCCGTGTTATAAAAGAACTAAACATCGCCCAGTCCTAAGCCCTATTCGTGATGGTTGGTATGTCTGAGTCCATTAGTAACTATTGTGTCAATCCATCTTATTGGGGGTTTCTCTCAGTTTCTCTGGCCCTCTGCTTTACCAATCATGATACCTGTTCCTTTCACCCTGTGTCACCCTCCCAGTCCCCAATGTCCAGTAGTTATAACCAGAAGACAGAGGTTAGAAGGCATGAAAAAGTGGACTATCCCTACTGGTCCTATGCGTCTAACTTGAGCTGGAGGAACATATGAAAATGAGACTCACATGTTAAGTAAGTGGACTACACAATTTAAGCAGCCCTGGTGGCACAGTGGTTAAGAGCTGAAGCTGTTAACCAAAAGGTCAGCAGTTCAAATCCAGCAGCTGCTTCTTAGAAACCTATGGGGCCGTTCTACTCTGTCCTACAGAGTGATCAGAATGCTATAGGAACTGCCTGAGGCAACGGTGATGGTTTTGACAACGGATTATGAGGAGATGGGTCCCGGAAACACTTCCGAGTGGTTATAAATAGATCATAGATGCTATTTGTTAAGAAGGAAAGGGTGCTGAGAAAGGATTAACTCCTTTTGGATCTGTTTAAGGCAAATTCCTATTCCAATGTTTTCTCCTACTTTTTACAATATCTTGTCTAGTTTATTCCCATTTAAATTCCCTTTTAACATCTTCTCACCTGACCATTTCTTTTTTTTTTATTTTACTATTGTACTTTAAGTGAGGTTTAAGGGAGTTTACAATTCAAGTTAGTCTCTCATACAAAAATTTATACATAAATTGTTATGTGACCCTAATTGCTCTCCCTATACTGTGACAGCACACTCCTCCTTTCCACCTCTGATTTCCCGTGTCCATTCAACCAGCTCCTGATCCTCTCTGCCTTCTCGTCTCACCTCCAGACAGAAGCTGCCCTTTAGTTTCTTGTACCTACTTGAGCTAAGAAGCACACTCTTCATGAGTATCATTTTATGTCCCATAGTCCAGATTAATCTTTGTCTGAAGAGTTGGCCTAGTCACATGACCCATTTCTACTATACAATCGTAAGAATAACAAGAAGCCTTGTGAAGCTTTGTGTTGAAAGAAAGGATTAGGATTTTTGGAAAAAGTTTTTGTAGTATTTAAAAGTTGATCTTAGACACAGACACCCATCAATCTCAGAACTGTGTTTGTGTGTTTTTCTTTCTCTTCTGCATCATATTTTTATAATACACAACAGATGAATCCCGGTTTTATTCCTCACTTCATTATCTCCTCTGTTACCTCATAGGAATTTTTCTTTTCCTTTCAGGTTTTACTTGGATGTCCTTTCCATCCTCTCCAGGAACCTTCACTGACTCTATCAGACACACCCAAACCATTCCTTGGGCCCGTTTACTTTTTCAACCAAGACACAAGCTGCCACTTATAGCTACCACACTGATGAATTCCGCAGGAAGCAAGAGGATGAAATTAGCAAGTATCTTAAAAGGTGCAGGACGGGCACTTAGACCCATTTCATCCTCAAATGGAAGGTTCCTGAGAAACTGGTATGTTTTTTGGCTACACCTGTA